GAAAAGAAGACATGTAAGGCATTGATATGTTTTTAAGCTCTCTCGGGAGAAAAGCATTGAGTTGCTAAAAACCTAGCTTTTTTCATTTTTTGGCCTTAATTAAGGTCTGATTTGAAAGGTAGAAACAGATTACTCTCACTGATTCTTAATTGGATCGAAGTTAAAATGGAGATTTATATTTCTAGTTGAAGTAATTATATCCATCAGTTGTCCTCTGTACCTTTAAGTTGTAATGCTTCCCTTAAACACATTAAAACTTGCCATTGGTAACAGTTACGTGAAAGATAGTAGAATTTGAAGCACAACAAAATCAGATTTAAATCTGAATGGTTGCATTGCATCCTTAAAGCTTTTTTTAGTCATTGTAACATCTGCAATTAGTTATTATCACAGCCTAGATTATAACATTTTCAAGACAAGAGTTGACGATGGGATGGTAGAGTTTTATTATTTTAACAATAAATAACGATCATTCAAAAAGTGGAGAGCCACTAGTTCTTAAGCATCTTCTAACCATATAGATTATCGAGTTTGTAATAGCATTTTCTAGTAAAAAAAGCTTTTAGCACAAAATACAAAAATCTTTCTGATACTTCTTTTCATTAGCTCCCTTTAATATCTCATGTCAATCATTTAACTCAAAAGGAACTTTTCCTGAAATAAATAGTTAAACAACATGTTAAGTTATACAGGAAATAAATAATTATATTTCTACAATATACTAATTCTTTCATGCATATCTCTAAAATGCATCCTATTTAAAAATAATTATACTAATATTTCATTTAAACAAAATTTTAAAACATTTACATTTCATTTTTTTATGAAGCCATCTCAAGGCCATCATCTAAAACATTATACAAGGTATATTCATTTTCATATCATTTTCCAAGTTTTGTCCATTTCTAATTCCATTTTCCTGCACAGGTGTGATAGCATATTCAGCTAGTATCATAGGGGAGAAGCTACAATCATTTCATTTGATTTTCATTTAAATTCTTTCAATCATTTAAAATATTCATTGAACTTTCAGTGCAGATGCAATATATGGAATTTTTTTAAAAATATGTTATAATGCTTATATGACTTCAATAAATTAAATGTTCAAATAATTTTCTCTACAACTATAAAGATTTAAACATTTTAAGCATGAATGTATTTAAATTTTAAAGAACTGAATTTTGTATAATTAGAAAGGTAATTGCTCACCTATACCTTTGAATGATATGTTTTGTCACATAATCTTTAGCGTCCATTTTCTCTAATGCTGTACCTAATCACGTGAATCATTTTTTCAATCATAATATTTACAGCATGATTTTATATTACATTCTTAATTTGTTGAATACATTTAACTTGCTATTTTTTGAATGTAATATTTCTAATTTAATTTTTAAAATATAAAAAGTAATATTTAATTAATTTTCATAACTTTGGAATCAATTTATAGCATTTCTAATTTAATTGCATACCTCAGCTAGTCTCCTTCCTTTGTTAAATTAGTTATTCATCTTCTAAATCTATTTCTCTCAAAATCCCAAAATACATGTTTATACAAATTAAAAAAACCAGTAAAATTATACCTCAAAATAAGCTCATTTCTTTGCATAATCTACTGTTACTACTTACTACAACCCAATCTTCAATCACCAACCAAACTTATTATTTTCCTTTAGTCAAATCCTAAATATTTCTTCAATTTTAAACTCATTTCAAATCTAAATATTTATACAAAATAAAAGGATTACACGTAAAATTTTATCTCAAATTCTCCATCTTAAATGTCGAGTTGCCTCTATAGCCTGTCATGCTTAAAACTAATGTTAAATCTATGTTTTTGTGGTTTTTTAGGACAACATGAACATTAAGACACACTTCAGAAATTTTTTCATGTCTGTCAAATGTGTTGTTACATCACATATCCATTTATTTCAAGTAGTTTGGTCTTTGTTGATTGTTATCGAACATAAAGGTCATAAATTACCCCTCAACTCTTACAAATGTTTTAGAATATTTACAACTGCTCAATCTTTTGACTTGAACTTCCATCATCAAACTGCCATGCTTGCTTTCTTGTTGCGTACCTATTCGACAAGTTGCATATTCTATCGTAGAAATTTTTCTTCCATTCGTCAAAGAACTCTTTAGCGTCGAGATATTTAAAACCCATTTAATATTTTAGAGTTCTATGATATTGCACTTTACCATTAAGATAATTGTAACCCATTTAAAAATTCAAAATATTAGACGAATTACCATTAAGATAATTGTAACCCATTTAAAAATTCAACATATTAGACCGAATTCAAGTTTTTCTTTTTATGTGGCAAAGATATTTTTTTATTAACATGGAAAAGGACAACACATGTCAAGTGATACCAGAGTTAACTAAATAACAACGAGAAATGCAACTTTTATTATTGAAAGCAAATAGGGTTTACAACAAACACACACCGAAATAAGAAACAGTAAAAGACACCAAACTAGGGCATGGCTCAAAGGTGGTGGGAAGGTTGCGGTAATGTAGCTGTGATTGAGGAAGATAGAAAGTTGGAATGGTGGAGGTGGCAATAGGGTATGTGAGGTGCTTGGCAGCTGGATAACAGCAAGGAGAAGGTTGTCGATAGGGCTGCAGCTAGGATAGGAGGTTGGCAACAGAATGCCGACAGAGCGATTCAGACAGGGTAGGCAGCTAGGATGAAGGTTGGGGAAGTAGAGAATTAGCAGAAAGGGAGATTGGTGGCAGAGAAGCAGCAAGAATGCTAGCATAGCAATTCCGGCAGGGGGCGGTAGTAGGTCAGGCGGCTGGGATGAAGGTTGGGGAAGCAGAGAAGGAAAGATAAATACCACCTCAGGATGAGTTACAACTAGAGCACATTTTTGCCTCCAGATACAACCTTAGGAGGGAGAATTGGAGACGCAGATGACTATCCCAATAGAAAATACGAGAAAATTGATATGGACACGATTAAAACAATATATATAGACCTAGAGCAACAAATGAGTGGACCTCAATACTCATAGGAGGCAAATCCATGCTTGGAAGGGCCAGTTGGTCCCTCCTTTGCCTGGACTGAATCAGCTCAGATCGGGATACCTGGCATTTTATCGTGTCTGGGCACTGGACTCCACATGTCATGGTGCATGTAAATTGCATTTAGGAGCGCTTGGTTTGTTGCATAGCCTTTTTGGTGAAAATCAAATCTTTCATGTAAATGTGTCAAACAAAAGGTAATGCGGCTAATTAGACTTCATTTACTTCGTTGTAAATTTATGAAGTTGAAATTTGAGATTGTAGAAATGCTTTTCTTTTATCTGTATTTGGTGAGGTTTTCTTGTTTTGCTTTTCAAAAACTTGATAGATTTTAGGAGAATTCGATTGTTTCTTTATATCAGTGTATTTCCTGATCTTCCAAAATAATCTTTGCCATTTTATTTATTTTGTTCACGTTAAATGTCGACCATTTGATGTCCCTGTTAGGATAGTAGATGTTTTAGATTTGACTTATGTTAAGAAAAGTAGAGGTGGACCTAAAAGACTTGGGCATGTTGTGTAAAAATTATCTTAATTTATTAGAATTAAATGAACATATGACACTCAATTGGACACAATAGAGAAAAAGAATTTATGTAGCCTACCGCACTTAGCGGGATAAAAACAATTTGTTGTTGGTGGTGGTGGTTGCTAATTGTCATAGTTTCATTTAGTTGAATTCAAATGTACTGTTTCACAAACAATATTGTGTAATGTTACATTCAACGTTTAATAGAAACTAGGCCACTTGGTTTTTGGCATGATCTCTTATGGTAGTTCTTGGAGTCAGCTTACCTTTTCTTTTCTTTTTTTTTAATTTTGATCTTTCCTTGATAAAATGCATCATCCAACACCTTAGTATACTGCAATTTTGTGATTAAACTTTTGCTAATCTTTTCGGCAGGTTTTCCTGGATTCATATAGATGATCTGGTGAGCCTCATCTATGAAGCTTTGAGGAATCCATCCTATAAAGGTAGCATGCTGTGTGCCATGCTGAAATTGTAGCAATTTATGTTAAGATCATTTTGTGAAATTCCTTATGGCACATTTTCTATTTATTAAGAGGAAAATACGAGGAAAAGCTATTTGTCCGAGTTGGAATATTTAGTTTGCATTTCTTGAACTATTTTGTCTATAGATTTTATGTTAGGAGTTGCATCTAGTGATAGTTTTCGTTGAAATTAATGTGTGAGCAAATTTTTAATATGTTAATTTTCATCTACCCTCTACCCTTTGCCCCTTAATATGACTTGAGTCATGAATTTTACCCCACCCTCTATTATTGAAAAAAAAAAACCTTAAACTTACACTCTTTAGCATATATAGATTTAATCTTTGTGATTTTTGTTACACTTAATTTTCATCCTTTATCTTTTCTATTTAACAATGGCTATATGCTACAATATATTTTCTTATATTTCTATTTATTGAGTTTTTGTTCAAGTAACATGTTGTATTTGGAATCCTTCAATGCCATGCCATGCCTTACAATGATGCTTGGTTAAATACGTAATTTATAAGGTATGATATATTAATCTTGAACAAAACATTATAAATTATAGTAAAATATAGAATAATCTAGTAAATTACCTATAATCCTTATAAAGTGTTTTTTTTAACAATAACTACCATAATAATATTTGAGAAAAACTTATTAAGTAAAGCTTTGAAAGAGATAATCATAATGTGCCTAGTCAACTTACAGTTGTTAGTATTAATGATAAATCATTTCATAATCGTCATTTACTTGGTTTACTTATTTTTTATCTTGAAATATTATACTATTACTTTAAAATATGTCATGTGGGTGGCTCTATTTTGATTGGTCATAATAAGGTAATAAACTCTATTAGACCTACATATATCACAGTGTTGAAAACCCAACTTTCACCCGCTCCTTGCATTCTACTTCGTCTTTTGACTTTTGAGCTAATAAACTTGAGTTTCTTAGTTTATTATTGATGGAACGAGTAAGTATTGGTTTAGTGCTTACAAGTAATTGACTTTTAATGTAGGTATTTTATATGTTACATTTAATACATTAAAACGAATCAATTTGTATCCATCGACTTCCAAATCTGTCAATGCATGCTACTTTTCTTGGAATAGTTGAAATCTCAATTCAATGCTACAAGGCAATAGTTTCAATGAATAGTGAATTAAATGAATAATTAGTATTGCTTAGGATTAAATTGTTTAAATTGTAAAATAATATATTTAAGCAAATATATTTTAATTACATGTGTCCCTAACAAGGTATAGAGTTTTATAAAAATGGTTCATTTTTTTATGAGATGCAATGACACAGGTGCGTCAGGGACGCTAGAACACACCGATCGATTGAACCGGCTGGCAAATACTCCCGCAAGTCCAATGGACCGAGTCCAAGTAGGATGATTTGAGCATTTTGTAGAGGGGGTGGGACTATCGCCCTTCCTTTGGTGCTCTTCTCCGTATAGAAAGTGTTTAATAGCTATTTTTTTGGATTTTTCTAGCCTCACTCCCCTTCCTTTGTTGTGGGAGTTTCCTTCTTTATTTCTTTCCTTTTCTTCTTCATTGTGAGTCTATAAATCGCTGCTTTCTGATCGAGGGTTCAGTTTTTTTCTCGGTTTGCTTTCAGATTTTTTGTGGAGTTTTTTTCCATCTTGCTGGTGTTGTATCCAAAAACAGGTGATGCTCCTGTTGTATCCTGCTCCGAGTTGGCGTTGTATTTTTCCAATCTTTTCCTATCTTCTTCTTGACCCCTTCTCCTACCCCTTTCCTAGCCATCTTCCTCCAATAGTTCTGTCGTTGCCCCTACTGCCACCGCAACCTGCTATCCAGCCATCCAGTCCCCACATTCCACTCCCTCTCCCTACAACCACCTAGTTGCCCAGCCATCCAAGCCATCTACTCGCATCCTGCTATCCCTTCCCTGCAACAACCCCTGTTGTCCAGCCCACCTACAACCTACTTAACACCGTTCTAACCTAGCAAACAGGCACTTAGTCTTCCCCGCCTTTTCTTACCACCTCACTGACGCCACCACCACCTTCAAATCTCCTCCTCCAGCCCTAACCAGAGATTAGTCTATTATTGTATTTCCTTTTCCGTTTAATTTAGTACTAATAAAGTTTGTTTGTGCATTACTTATTATTTCTTACCTAGTTCCGTTATTATGCAAAAAATGAGATATAGAAATATTTGAGTATTTGAATTTAACCTCTAGAAGATTGTGTATTTCAATTCTTTTCTTTGTTAGAATTTTATACCTAAAATTTACTCCCTTAATGGTTAGTCAAACAAGTGAAAAAAATAAAAAAAAATACTTTGCCTCGTATCCTCCTTTTCTCATGTTAGATCGTTAATAATTGTTATGGCTTTTAAAAATACAAATTCAATCACTTTGAATTTTATCATTAGATACTATTTCTTCTAACAATTTTAGGAAGCTTTCAATACATCTCTCGTTATCCTTATTTTCTCATTAGCTTGATCAACAAATTGGAGGCCCGTCAAATATCTCCCTCAAGTTGCAACATAACATAGAGTTATGCATTTTCTATCGTGCAGTGTTTCATATGGTGTATTTTTAATACTAGATTGGTATTTTTTGTTAAATACAAATTCTATCAATAGAATATGCTCTTTCCAACTAAAATTATGTAGTATCAGCATCTCCTCTAATACCTTAATAGCTCTTTATAATTGGTTATCAATCTGTTGATGAAATGCTATATTGAATTGAAATCTAGTTTCCAAACTATATGCATGCTTTTCCCATAATCCTATGAAGTTAGTTTTCTTCACAATAAATTAAGCCAATTTTTCACTAAATTTGTTTGATAAATAAGCTCAAAGTATGCCAACTTTATCGATTTATCAATTACAATCTAAATATAATCATTCTCTAGTCTTAATTTTGAAATTTCTATGATATAGTTTATTAATTATATCTTCTTCTTTTTCCCTCTGGTGTTCGCAATGATTGTAACATTTGATTAGACTTTTCATATTTAGCTTCTATCACTTAATAAAATTCATATTTTGCTATATATTCAACTGCATCTTTTATCATGTGCGACCGAGAAATACATTTTAAATTTTTATGCATTTTGGTGCTCTCTAGATGAATTGAGGAACTTGTAATGAGCCTCATATAATATCTCTTGTATCAACTCTTGTCTCCTGGAATCCAAAGATCTATATTGCTTATGATCCACCATGTTTAAATCTATACTAATATATTTTCTCGTGTTTGCTCGTAATTGATTGATTAGCTTTCGATATTCTTTAGTAACATGCTACGTATCATTGATTTTTTTTTCTCTAAAGGAGGTTGTACAGTAATCTGATTTAAATGCTACGTATCATTGACCTCTAATTATAAGCCTATATATATCTCTACTCAACCCTACTTTATGAGTTAAAATGCAGCTTGCATTTTTGCTAGACTTTCTACTTAATGTATTTGCTATGGCATTTGCCTTTTCAAGCCAAACTATAGATCAAGGTTATAAGTTTTTATCGGCTCTAATCATTTATTTTGTCTCAAATTGAATTATTCTTATATAAAAGTACATTTTAAATTTTTATGATGCGTGAATATTTCATATCTTATCCCATTTAGATAATGCCTTGTAATTTTAACAGCAAAAGCAATTGAATTTAACTTCAAATCATGTGTCAAATAATTTTAATCATATGATTTTAATCGTAAAAAAGCATATGCATTAACCTTTCTATTTTGCGTTAAAGCATGTTTTAGACTCTTTAAAAATACATTACTGTATATTTAAAATCTCTTTAATTTAGATGAAATTATTGACATTGATTTAGATGTCAAGCATCTCATTAAATTCTTAAAAGATTTATTTATTGCTTATTAGTTTAATCAAATTTAATTTTATTTTTGGTCATCTACATAATGTAATTGCAATTTGTGAAAAAGTCTCTTTCAGGACGGTTAGGAGAATGCAGGAAGATTGGTGGCCAGGTGTTGGGGTGAAGATGGGATAGCTGGACAGCACTGATGTGTTGCAGGAAAGGGCTGGGCAGCTGTAATACGCTGCAAGAGGGGTGACGGGATGTTGGGGTGAAGGTTGGAGATGCCGGTGGCTAAGAGGAGTGGAGGAGAGAGGGCCGGACAGCGGGATGGCTATAGGAGGGGCGGCAAGCAAGTAGGATGAAAGGGAAAGGTTGATGTAAGTTGGGAAGATAATCACCACCTTGGGAGAAAAATACAACCGGAGCACCACCCAATTCATCGGATAGGTCATAGGCGGCTGTCTGCACAGAATTGAAATAAAAAATCAACAATATTGAACCCTAATTATCAGAAACAGTACATATAAGGACTCAATCAGGATAACACAATAAAGATAAGAGGAAGCGAGGGGCAGGCGGCTTAGCCGCCCTCTTTTTAGTCTACCCCATCCAATTCCCAGCTGGACCGACCTTTATGCCAGCCAGTTCAACCGGGTGGCTTTTCCCGCACCCACTTACGCTTTTTCCCGAACCTGCATTGGCCGCAAAACTGTAGTAGATCGCGGCACCGTAGCAAGGAGCGAATACACTGTTTTTAGGTAGCTACCGCGTCTGTCTCTCAAGGTTGGGAGAGCTTTCACCTCATCAGTCAAAATTTTTGTCTCCTCATAGTAGTCAATTCAATCCTGTCGGCGATGTTGAAAGTTTGCGGTAAGTCAACCGTGTAGGCGGAGTCATTCCAAAGAACATCTTGATAGAATATGTATTCGTCCTCTTGCGGTACAACCTAAGCTGGCACTGTAGATAGACGAGTATTCTCACAAATCAGGTATCGAGCCTATTCCTAAAATCTGATCTCATTTGGACTGGAACAATCACTATAAATCTCTCTGGAACCTGAACTGGAGTGCTTCAGACCCTTTTCAACAACGTTAGCCTAGCTCTTTCGTAGGGCTGTTAATATTGCTTGAAGGAATGTTGCTAGATGTTTAGTCCAGTTTCAAGATTTTGTCCGGCTCAGATTGAAATGTATTGACCCGATTAATGAGCCAACTTTAGAGCACTAAACTTGAATTGAATCGAATTTTGATTAAATTTTGAAATATTTACATCAATGCATGATCCATCTCTGCCTCTCTCCCTCATTATCTTTGACAGTATATGACGGATTGCATTAATTCATGAACGTGTTTTGCATGTATGAAGGCACCAAAATAAAAGTATATTAGTTTTATTGTGGATTGAGATCTAATAGCCATTTCTTGCTCGGATCAACATTGTATCTAATCATTGTTGATCTGAACTTTTGACCGGATTGAATTAGCAACCATGCATACTCTTGGATCAGAGAAATTTCCAGAATATACATGACATCTTTTGCTTACCAAATTCAATTTTTCTGAAAGAGAAGAAAAACACTATAAATTGTCAGGTGTTATCAATGGAACTGCACCTAATCCAGTCCGATTATCGGAGATGTGTGATCAGCTGGGGGAAGTTATGGGCCGTCCGTCATGGCTTCCTGTTCCAGATTTTGTGCTCAAAGCAGTGCTTGGTGAAGGCGCCTCAATAGTATGTCCCATGCATAATTCATTCAAGTTTTATGACTGCGAGAATCTGAATCTGCCATTGTTGCAGGTTTTGGAAGGACAGAAGGTGATCCCAGTTAAAGCAAGAGAATTGGGTTTCAAATTTAAATACCCTTTTGTCAAAGATGCTCTCAGGGATATCGTTTCATCTGGAAGTACTTAGGCTATTGTAGTGGTTTTTGTATCAATTATATCATTATGATCCAGTAAAACTTTGTATGATGGTGGTAGACACATGCATGATTTTGTTCACTCTGATGCTCTGACATTTCCATTTCAGGCCTTCTGGTTGGTGCCAAGATGTGCTATAAATCATTCATGTAATGGTTGGTGATTCAACTTCTATCAGATTTTATTATTATTATTATTATTAATTTTTTTATTTTGATAGATGAGGGATAAATCATAGAACATGATGCTCAAACTTGATTTTGGATGGACTATTTCTGTCGTTTGATTTTCTTTCTTCAAGATTCATGAACAACGTTGAAGCTCATTTTAATTTGGGATCAATTTAAAAAAAAAAAAAACTATAAAGTCAATAAATAGATTTGTATTTAAAAAATGATAATATTTCATTCAGTAAAATGATTAACTTCCCAAAAATTATCTTCACTACTTTTATAAGTTAATTTATTTTAAAAATTTGAGTTTATTAAAAATAATAATATTTCCTAAAAATTATCTTCACTACTTTTATAAGCTAATTTATTTTAAAAATTAAAAATGCATAAAAAAACATTAAACAAACATAAGTAAAATATACAAAAAAAAAAAAAAAAATCCAAAAGAAATCCCATACAAGACCCAAGCAATTCAAATAGGAAGTTTTGATCGAATAGGAGCATGCTCCTAAGCAGCTTCCTCAAGAGCACATTCATTCACCCATAATACCAGCAATGTTCATAAAAAGTTTAACAACACATTTTAAACACCCAAAGAAGATTGTCAGATAATATGCACATCTGAATGCTTTTCAGGTTTAACTGTTGATAAACAGTAATCTAGCCATGAATAAACTCACTCAAAAACATGGCACAACTTTGAAGGGAAGGAAAGAAAACAGAAACTTCATGGTGTAAGTCTGATCCAAAATCAGGACAACGTTCGATAAGGTTTACTCGCAAAGACGAGAACTCATTGCTTCAATCGCCTTCCTCTTTCCCATAATTGTAAACAATTTCAACCTGTATCAAACATGCATTTCTTGAAATAAACTGCTAAAACAATACCACTAACATTTACAGATGAGGATGATCAAATTTTCAGGTTCGGTTAAAACAAAATGTGGGGCTAAACATCAACTTAGTCAACAATCACCAGTAATTACACATATTTTAAATCACTTTCACATAAAAATCAATCAACTTTGATGTAACTGCTTATTGCGTGATTTGGGAACTTCAAAACTAATGCTTTCAAGTATAAAACATACTAGAGCACGTAAAACCTTGAAATAACTACGTTCCTTCTGACCAAGTTTCGTAAAGGCTGTAGAAGCAGCCCAGAAAATGACCGGATAGCTTTTTGTCAAATCAATCAGACCATGAGCATTATGAACCAGCTTGAAACTATTTTTAGGATATCTCTGGGATATGCAGCTCTTTTTTCATAAAAGATAATAAGGTAATTATTCAATTATTCATTTTAAATTCTGATATGATGGGTATTCATAAGGCAATAATGTTATTATTATTTACTTAGTGATAGTTTCAAGTTTTTTGATTTCTTAGTATTTTAATCCATTAATAAACAAGATAACAGACCTTAGTTTAATATCAAAAAATGTTATTTATTATTTACTTGGAGATGTTTCCAGTTTTTTTAATTTCTTGGTATTTTAATCGATTAGTAAACATGATAACAGATTTAGTTTAATATCAGCTTCCTCTAAATCATTAAATGATTCCAAGTTATATTTGTTAAGATAATATACTTATTTGGTTGTATTCATTTACATTAGATGTAGTTCACACAATGAGATGTTAAAAAGCTATGCTGTATGCATATCTTCCCAGGAATGCTATGTTGCTTCCAAGTAAAAAAACATGAATTGCCAAATAGGTAATATTTCATTCTTATATTGATTAGGTTCCTAATAGTTTTATGCTTGAGCATATAAACTCGACGAAAAATTGCATACAAAAATGCAGGAAATAAAAGGTTTTATGGTCCAGGATTTCAGAAAGAAATTTCAATAAAAGATATCATAAGTCTTAAATTCCACCAACAAAGACTTTCTCAACAAATCATAGTAGTTAAGTTTGATGTTAAATACATTAAAAGAGTGTGCAAATAACAAATATGGAGTATAAGATTAAAGCAAATAGATTCTAGTTTGGGCATGTATAATGCTTAACTAAAAAAAATATACCGTAAAGATGATGAAATAAAAAAACAAGGTGAAATAAATTAAAATGAAAAAAAAAATGAGAAAGAGGCCAAGAATAACAACGTTAGAAGTTATGCAAAAAAATTTGTATAAATTAAGATTAGTACGTAAAGCTCAATGAAATGAATGACAAAGCAAAATGCCAAAAGGCAATTACAAATTAGGATAAAGCTACTAATGAAGAAATGATGTAATGAGAAGATAAATAAGAAGTCACAAAGGCATAATTGATAAGATCATAAGTCCCTGCCAATTATGAGATCGTGAGAACATCAAAAATGATCAATTGATCATGAGAAATCAAAAGCAATGATTTGACCATCAAATGATGTGTTTTTGCATCTGTTTTTTTAGCATAAATATATTAAGAGCAACATTAGACTCAAAAAGGGGCATCATGATCAAGAGCACAAGTTATAGTGACAAAAGATACAAATATATGGTTTAGAAATCAAAATGTGAGAGATCAAGGGATGTGACCAGAACAACAAGAGCGCAAGTAATTAGTAATGATCGTGATAAGAAATATTTAATAATAAAAGAATAAAAAATGACTAAGATTGAACCAGATTGAATCCATACAAGACGGCTCAAGAAGAGCCCTCCGATCTTTGTTTAATTAGAACATAAATGCAGCATCCATTCATAAGAGGAAAAAAAAAGTAGCCAATACTCTTCAATTTGTTTGGAGGCAAATAATGCCAAAAAGAATAGCAATGCATTAAGATATTTTTCAATCATTATTTTTTATTAGGAGGCTTAAAAGAGCATATATGTAACTCCTTTGTTCTCCAAAGTAGGTATGCGTCACCCAAACTACTAACAGTCTTACTATTCGAAAAATAACAAGTAGACCTTAATGGGTATCAGCACCAGTAGGCAAAGTGATCCAAATGAAAGCCCATATTCCATGACAAACAAGGGAAGAATACTTCCAGAAACCAAATTAAGTAATACTAAAAGCACAACCCAAATGTTTCACCCTCATTGGAGGACTTCAAAATTTTAATTTGTAGTTTCCTATAGAAATAACCTCCAAGGTTAATTACTTCTTCAAGGCTAATCACGTGCCTCGAGAAAAGATTCATTGTGATGGCTTTTTATACAATCCAAACTATTAAGATGCTATTGAGAAGACCGTCACTCACATGCTTACAAGAGGTGTATGGGTGTAGAATGACAAAACCAATCAAGATCTCATAGTCCTTTAGTTTTAAATCTGTCGCCACACAATGATCTAAATTGTCAATAGACAACAGAAGGAATCCTTATAGACCAAAGGTGGAAGCTTGCGAAGGAGGCAAAATTTGCATTTAAACTGACTAACAATTGGCCCTTGGATCTATCAAATGCACCATATGAATGTTTGGCCATTGGGAACATCCAGACTTTCCCTTGGTTCGATTATTACTGCGAACAATGAGACTACAGTTCAAAGTTCTTGTGTAGCATATCCTTCAGTATTATTCTTTCAAAGCAATACATACATTAAGTTTTTAAATTTTTTTGTAATTTGCATTATGCTTTTTTTTATTATTTTAGTTATGTTTACGTCCATAAGATTCTATTAGGTTTTATTCCCTAAGAGTTTCCACACTATTCACTTCAACAACCTCCTAACATCCCCATGTATGCACCATTATGCTATCCAACCATGCTTTAAGCGATGTGCATAATAGACACCTTCAGAAATCGCAGTCAAAGTATATTTAAGCAAAGGATATTTAAACTCACCCTGCTTAGAAAAATGCTCAAAGGCTTTCAACATTAGCACGAAAATGTATAGAATAAAATTTCCCTAACACATTGAAACAACACTCAAGGGCACTTATTTTGCATTTTTCCAACCATTTTGGATATCACCCATGGGTACTTGAAATTTTTGCAATTTTTTTTTTTTTTCATTTTAACATAAGATGCGGAAGTTGGGGCGAGGATCAAGACACAAAATTCTATCTTTTCCATTCTTCTTTTCCTTTCTCTCAATTTTTTTAACATTTCTTTTTTATTTTTCCATTTTCTATTTGACTTTTATTTATAATATTTTAAATAAAAGCACTTTCCTTAACTATATGTGTCTGCGCGCGCGCGTATATAAAGAGAAAGAGAAAGAGAGAGAGAGAGAGAGAGAGAGGGGAAGGAGCTGTGGAACTAGCGAGGGAAAGCAAGGAAGAGGGAAGAAAATGAGAGTAAGAGAAAAGAAAGAAGGGGATGTTTGATTTGCTGAAAAAAAAAAGTTACTGTAAAAAAAATGCTATGTAAAAGTAATGCATTGTATTTTGAATACTTAAAAGTTGTTTGGTTCTATGTAAAATAAATGCAGGACTTCACATTTTCTTGTTGGTTTGAAGAAAAATAAAATTAATATATGTGGTTGGCAAAGATGGGTATTTTGTGGCCAACTGGCGATGAGTTGCAATTGTCAAAGGCGGTGGCCAATGGCGGCGTGCAACACTTAAACAAAGTGGTGGATTTAAAATTTGCTCAAACCCAACAAAGTCCAAATGCATTGAAAATAAACTTAAGAATGAATTCGAAATGAATTATAATTTTACACTAAATTTGGAATTCATTCGACCAAACACCAAAATTTTAGACTTTTGCCAAAAAAAAAAATGCAATGTACTCCTTATGCAACAAACCAAACAGCCCCTAAGTGTGGGAAAGAGATTTAGAGAGAGGCGTGAGGAACAAAAAGGAGAATAAAGTAAGAAGAAAAGATAAGCAAAAGGTTGTGAGAATGAAGGAGAGCTCACCAATGCGCTTGAGTTAGAAACAAGGGAAGTCAAGTTGCTAGGCCAAAGAGTTCAGAGGTAAGGGAGTTCTGAGGTCGTTGACAGGGAAGTGATAAATTTGTCGGTGAGTGGGGTAAAAGCATTAGCTAAGAGCATTGGCACAACAAAATGGATGGAGGTTCAAAAAAAGTTAGGTCTAGTGTTGGCTGGAGCACAAGAGCATTTGTCAGTTTTCATAGAGACATACGATAATAGGGTCACTCGATGGGTTCGTGAGAGCAATGACAGGGTGTGATCGGGTCATCCGACGTGATAATTGTGAAAGAGAACAAGAGAGGACGGTCAATTTGGTGGCATATTAATGAGATAAGGTCCCTATGAAAGTATCATGCAATGCTACAGCATGATTATTATTATGATGTGTGTGTGTGTGTGTAGCGCACGCACGCGTGTGGCTGTCTTTAAATTTTAATTTAAAGGTGAATTTTTTATAGTTTTTTTTTAATATAATCATTTAAATATCTAATAAATATTAGTTTGAGCAAAATACTTAACCTATATGTACTTGTGAAAATTTACACTAGTTGATATAATATATTTTTTTAATTTATTTTTTTATAACAAGTGTTATTCTTAAAAAGTTTTTATTTACATATTTCAACTTCTCATCTGGTGTGCGTGGATAAGTTCCTTGAACTTTTTCCTGCTACAACTAATACAATTTGGGTGCTCTTTTTTTAGGGTTTTTTATATTTTGGACATAATAAGAGTCTCTTTCATGAGACAAGAGGGCCTTTGAGCAAAATCACGTCCAAAATTCATCATTTTTTGGGCTATATGGAAATGTAAGTCTTTAATAAATATTTTCAGCAATCTAAACGTGAAAGCAATACATTCTGCAAAAAAAACAATATTTTGATGAGTTTGATTTGTGCAATGCATCATAAGATTAAGATTAAGCCTATTAGCAGTCCAATCAAAGCGATAATGAGGAAAATTTTTTGGTAATTTCACAATTCTGATTGCATCAGTGAAATCATTTCGTAAGATAAAAATGCTTGAACGATTTTGATTATGATTGAGATACTTTGACATGATTTCATGTCATGTTGTATTCAACTATAATTATTAACTTCAATTTTTTTACTAGGTTCGCTTTGTATCGCACCGTAATAGATGTACAAATTAATAGGTGATAGTTTGGAATGGCAATGCCATTAATATCATGCTGAAAAATTTGATGACTAAAAAATATAAAAAGCAAAACAGATGCGGCAAGAGATGATTGATTATGCAAGATTCATATAAAATTTTTTTTCACGTAAAAGATAAGAATATAGAATTTTTTTTAACTTTGCAGTTCAAAGATTTCCAATAATGAATTAATACACTGGCTGCATAAACAAGCAAAAAGAATCCATAAGTATGACTTACCCCCTGTGGTGGAACTGGATTCCTTGTGAACTTGGAACCACCAGGAGCCCAAGGAACTGAAAATGAGAAAACAAAAGAATATACCAGTTAGCATAATCTATGGCAAAGCAAGGATCCTTATTGCTTAAACATCGACCTTTCATTACTGGCCCACTCTCTTCTTGATCAAATGCTGGAAAAATTTGAAATAACTATTTGAGAAAATTCCATTTTTAAGGTAGGGATAATTACATAGCAGTTGAAACATTGTTATTAACAAAAATAGAAACTAGATAATTTTTTGAACTAATAAGCTAATGCATTCATGCATGTCATGATCAAATCAATAAAAATTTTATAGAAAAAGAAAAATATGAGTCAAGCGGCCGGCTTGGATACAACCCTAGAAGAGGAAAACCTGGATGTCGGTGACTGTCCTGACAGAAAACACCATAAAAATTGACTTCCAAACCTTAATACAACACATATATAAAAAAAGATTACAAATGAATGAAAGATAATAGGAAAGAAAGCATAAAAAGGAAAACGGGACTGTTTTGGCAGCCCGTCTCCCGCAATATTGAATCCTGTGATACAATAGCAGCTGCAGTATAGCGTAAATTCCATTTAGAAAAGCTCCCGAGTCAGTTTTACTTTGAATTTTGATATTTGTGTGAGAATTCAGAAAAAAGGATGAAAGATGGTGCTGGTTTTGTAAATATCAATGTTTCGAGTGTTATGTACGTAAATTGCCCCATTTAAGATAATGAAAAGCATTCCCTTAAAGTAAAATGAACAGCCCACAAGCCAAAAGGAGAAACCCCAGATAAGTTTCAAAATAATTGTGCAGATTGTTTGCACTGCAACTAATAACAAAGTTCAATTTAATCAAAATACTGGCAAGAAGATGAGAGAATGAATTGAAAATTTTCATATCAAATAAGAGTTCAAAAACTTCATAATTTATTTGATTTACTTATCTTTTCATCATGAAAAAGAAAGCATACAGGAAATAATCATAGAAGGCAAAAGTGCATAAAGGATTCTAAACAAACAACACAACAACAAGATACAAACAATCCTGACGAGGAGGAACTCCAGGTTGATGGTGCAAAGCAAACAACTGCGGTGAAAGCAAGAGAGGTATTAGGCCGTTGGAGAGGTGTCGAATTATAGCTGGAGGGGGTAGAGAAGTCGTCAAAGGCTGGAATCCGGAGTGCAACTGGCTGCGACCTGCAGGGAAACTGCAGGAAGGAGGTGCGGCAGCTAAAGAAGGAAGAGGGGCAGTGGGCAGGATGTGGCAGGGGTGACTGCGGCCTGCAAGTAGAAAGGAGAGGGTTCATCGATCTGTTGATTGCCGTCGGTGGTTGCTGAGGCATGCAAGAAGAGTAGGGGCGGCAGTCTGCTGGCAACTGAAGGGCTGCAAAAGCCTGCTGAAAGGACAGAGGAGGTGTGATGGCTTGCTAGTGGCTGCGAAGCGGGTTGATAGCGGCAGGAAGGATGGAAGGATAAATAAATATCTCGGTGGGGTCTAGCTATAGCCAAAGCACCACCCGAACTCGTGGGGACGATCATCATCTCGGACGCGAGACAACTAGAGCACTTCCTCGACATCTGATATAGCCCCTGAAGGGGAAAACACCAAGGTTAAAACCTGAATTCATATAAGCATATCACTTTCAATTTATAAAGAGGACTCATTTTAGGAAACTTTTTTAAGACAAGAAAGGAGAATAAAATATGGTTTCAGATTTTTTAAGAAAGGGTATTAAAATAAGGAAGGAGAATGAAATAAAATCAGGATTCAGATTTTAGGAAAAGATTTAAATTAGAAAGGGCTTAGGAAGGAAAATAAGAAAGGAAGTAAAGAAAAGAAAAGGGAAAGGAGGAAAAAGAAAAGCAGGGGAGAGGGGGGAGGGCGGCAACCCCACTCCCTTGAGGACCGGCCAATACAGCCAGGCTCGACCGAGCCCAAGCGGTCCTCCCAGTGAGCCCCGCGTCAGTCTCAAAAGGCCTTGAACATCAATGCAAACGGAAGATAAAATAAATTTCATAAGGTTCTCAAAAAATCATATAGTACCAATTCATGATAATGCAAACATGTAAAATTAGGATGAGAGCATAATTTTGCAACCACTCCTTGGCAGTGGACTTTCTAAACTTAGTTCATGGATATCTGTCATGAGCATAGAGCCTTATCAACCCCAATAATTAGAACATAGAGGATCATACTCCATATATAGCACTTACACCCTCTCCTTAACTCCATATATAACACTTGCAACCCTCTCCTATAAATAGGACGGCCTGCCTCAGAGCATGCACAGAGCATAGTGATATGAATCTATAGTTTAAATTTAAGTTTGAGATTTTTCAAAATGGTTGCATACTATGCGAGTAGTTGCTCAATTCTTGAGGTGAGATTACAAGGAAATTTCATTTTCTAAAATACAAACTTTTATTCATCGCTCTATTTTTATATTTATATATAATTATGTTCTCGTATATTGACAGACCTAAACTTCTATTGGCATTGAACTTACACATTGGTACTAATTTTGCAACTTAATATTGTAGTAGGATAGTATATATAATAGAGCTTGCACATTCCTGCATATGTTGTCAATCAAGGTCATGAATTATAAAATGTGCAATTAAACTTATGCATATGAGTCAATAAACTTGTGCTAGCAAGATATGATATCAGATAATTTTTTAGTCTTTGAAATGAGACTCTTAATTTGTTCATTCTTTAGATTTCAGTTTTTTTTTTTTTTTTTGGCTTTCAAATGTTCACATTTAAAAAAACAAATTTAATTGATGTTTGTAGCACAATAATTACAAGTGAGAATAATAACTGATGATCATACAAACTTTGTGATACCTCAAGGGGAAAAGGATTCAATCAGTTAAAGATGACACGGTGATTGCATAAATTTTCGAAAATAGCACTTCGAGTTTCATGACTCCAAGAAGTAGAACGTCAAGTTCTGCAGCCTACTAATCCTCATTCTTCATGGTATGAACATTACTAATCTTCATTTCCCACGGGATGAGGAGTAAATTGTGATAGAAAAAATGGAAGCATAATTTGTGTTCCAATTAAGTAAATTGTTATCTACAGCACAAACCACTCAAAACCTAAGGAAGACACATCATCGACAATGCTAATGACAAATATTACACCACTGCATTGAATAGTAAGAAAGAATGCTTTAAAATTGGTTTTAAACTCATTTGATTACCAACAAAATAATCATGGAATTCAAGAAATTCCAAGACAAACGCCAATGGGGCAACAAAATGGAAAAAGCTACTCTATCAAGTAAATTGTGATATATAACATGGCCAAAAACAGCACAAACATCCAGAAAAACAACTCATCATGTGGGGACACAGCTGTGCATGCATTTGACCATATTTAACAAATTCAAGTTAAGATCGTCTACCTTATGTCATGGCAGTATTCTTTATGTGGTTCCTTGAAAACAGCAATAGTATTATCAAATTGCAACATGAAGATTTTTGCAAAGCATATTCTTACTATTCCTATTACACTTACACGAAAGGATCTCCCCATGTGGAAAAGAAACAATTCTCAATAGGTTTGCAAATTTATTTATGGCAATTTACATTCACATCGTGATTGGTTATGGGGAAAATGGATTTGGCATAAACTTTTATCCCTCTTTATATCCTTTTTCCTTTGGCGCTACCTCACTTCTGACCTCACTTCTGTAATATCTATTGATGATATTCTTAAGTTAAAAGGCTTAAAAATGACCTCGAGATGTCATATGTTCAAAATAGAGGAAGACATGAGGCACATTTTTTTTTAATGTGCTCTCTTTAAGAGTATGGGATATGCTTGGTGCACATTTCGGTTTTTATTGGATGCATAGAGGCTCTTTAAGTGAATATTTATGGCAATGAAAAGATTTTGATATCAGTAAGGAGGGGTTTCCCCTTCCTTTACTAGTCCTTTGGTTCCTTTGGAACTCCAGAAACAGTTTTAAATACCACACTTCTCCCCCCACTGCTTCTATGACTGTTGCTTATGTGATTGTCTATTACAATAAAGTCTTAAGGGCTAGTTCTACTAAGGTTCAGGTTTTAAAGTCCCCCGGCTCATTAGGTGGGCTCCCCCCTCATCGAAATATGTTAAATTAAATGTGGATGGCTGTTGGCATCCTGATTATGCTGCGGTTGGGGGAATATTTAGAGATTTTGAGGGTAGGTGTCTCTATTTTTTCACCTCCCCTGTTGTTGCTGATAATCCATTGGAAACGGAATGTTGGGGGGTTTTTTGGCATTAATGGCGGCTAATGTTTTCAATTTTCATAAATTAGAGGTGGAAATGGATTCTAAAATGCTCTGTGATATTCTTTTGGTTACCTCTCCTCCCATCTGGGATATATTATGCACTTTTACACGTATTTTAATTTTTATGGCTGAAAAGCATCTTGAGGTAAATTGGAAATTCATTCATAGAGAGAAACTCTCCTGCTGATGCCAAGCATGCAGGGGAGGTCTGTCACGTTGGTATCCACCACCATGCTCCTCTTAGAAGACTCCTCATTGGGGATAGCTTAAATCTGCCTTATGTCCGTTTTTAATCATTTCTGCTTATTGGCTCTAAGGAGGAGCTGCTTTCGGGTTTGATGGCTGGGGTCTACATTTCTCCTCTTGCGGGTTTTATATTTTGCTTGGCAGGTTTTCATTTTGTTGTAGGTCGAGTTCAATTTTCTGTTTCCCTGTTCCTAACTCCTGTTAGCTTTTACTGTTTTGATCTCATGATTTTTGTTGGTTTTTCTCTGCCCGTGAAGATGATTTTGGAGAACTCTGCTAATCTGAAGACACCTTTGTACATGATTTCTACTTTACTTTTCAAGTTACTTCTCAAGCTACACAAGATCACAGGCTTACTTATTTTTTGGCCTTTTGCTTTTTTTTTTGGGTATACTTGTATTTTGGAGATTTTTTTTTGTGTGAGTTATACTGTGGGGAGAGGAACCCCTAGGGGTGTGTCAATTGTATTTTTTGGGTTTCATAGACAGGGATCCTCCCCCCCTCCCTTTTCCTGTACCTTATTTTGAAATTAATGCGTAGGGAGCTACCACAGCTCTTTCCCCAAATAAAAAATAGAAAAAATAAAAAAATAAAAAAAGGAGATCGTTATTGAAGCTTTAAAAGGAGATTACCAATATAAGGGTCTGGGTGCTGCCACTTCGCATAGCTTGCTTCACCTTCATTAATAAGCCTATCAATAGTGTCAAGATCCTCCTGTAGGTTTACAAAATATTCATGAATGAAACATTCCGAAAAGAAAAAAAGTACTGAAATATGAGCTGCTATTAGCAAAGCAGAGACATTTTAATACATTCAGGGAAAATGATCAGTGTTTCAATCAAGATATCTGCGTAACAAAGAAATAGAGTAATCACATTAAACAGGGAAATTTGTTTAAGAAAATTAGCAGATCTAAGTAAAACAATTAGAAGTGAATTTTCTGCATAATACTGCAAAGAAAAAAGGAAACAAAATAATTTGATAACAAGTTTAAAACTATTATTTATTAACTGCAATACTGCATTGCCTTCAAAAACAAATTTTTTTAGAAAAAACCGATGAAGATTATATCCGAAAGCATTAAAGTTTCACAACATCTAATCATCAGCAAGTTATATAGAAAAGTAAATGTAGGTACTTTCGAAAAGAGAGCTATAATAACACAAATGATCCAATCTAAAAACAACTAACAGTTTGGTTCAAATTCATTTTAGTTTGATATGGTTTAAATTAGTGTTCCAGAGAAACCGTCTGCTATAGTTTGGATTCATTTTAGAATCTAAAAAAGAGGGCAATACAATCCCAACCCTTTGGGATCTATTTAATGAATCATCATTCTTCATTCATTCTTGTAGAGTGCCGCAGGTGTAAAACAAATTTTAAACATTATTTAAAAACTTCTATCCAAGTTATCGATCTCCTAAGAAGTGAAAGTTCTGAGGTCACTCAGGAACTATTTCTATTAGCCAATACTTCATTAAAAGTATCTTTATAACTTTTAATTTTCATGGCATTAGTTCATGCGAGTACTCAATAAAAACATCTGAAAAATGTTTTTCTTTTTTCTCTCTATACTTTTCTACTATTTGTCTTCTCATAAGAAAAAAAAGTCATGGTGGATCCTTCTAAGCGTAAAAGCAATTTGACTTTATAATACTCTAAGGCTATATACCACTACGCTTCCACAACCTCATATTTTCTCTTAAAAGTTATTAGGAAAATACTTATACTTCAATCATTTGGCAACCACCTAGCCTCAAAATTCTACGTAAAATACTTTGTAACCAAAAATACTCCTGTGACATCTATAACTCTACAAATCTCAATAGATATCATATGAACCTCGGCTATAGCTTAATGCACCTCCTTTAAAGCTAACAACTTCACTCTATTTCAGTTTATAACATAACTCTTTAATGTTTATTATGAACTTCAAGAAAATATTTCTGAAAAGCTAAGTTAATAACTTTCTTTTAAAAAAAAAATTCAGCTTCAGTTTTATGACCTTATAATCTATGAAGCACAAACACAAACACAAACATGACAAGATACAATACAGTGATACGGCAAAATTGTAAAAAATAAGATTAGGCATATCATGAACACATTATTATATATTTAACAAATTATTAAAATAAATATATATATATACATATCTTCATCATTCTCTATTAAAAAACATCACACAACAAAGAATGCAGGAATAAAATTAAACATTATAAATTTAACTTAAATTATGAAACCTCATGCTTACAAAAATCAATTATTTCAAAATTAGACATATTACATGTTTCAAAAAAATAACTCTAACATATCTATTAAATTTTAAAATATCTTACTATTACACCTTGTTCAATTAATTAAGTTAATTTAACTTTTAAATTTGTATTAAGTACAAACTTATCACCATTAACTCATTAAAGAGTAAAAAAAATTATAAATTATAATTTACAAAACCAGTGTGGCTCTGACCCCACTCGGCTTCAATGAATAGAGGCTTTAGTGTAAGCATCGCAGTGTTCGATTTTGACTTCAATGAACAGATTCAAAGAATAGGTCTGATTCCTACTCAGAATGCGGTAAAGAAGCTTGTAGGTTGTATTTTAGCTAGTGCAGGTTCAGCTTTGACCAACAAAAGGGAACTCTAACACTCATCTTTGAAAAATACAAGAAAGACCTTTGATGCTCGGCTTCAACAAATGCTAGATGCACCTTCGACGCTCGGCTTCGACGAATGTTAGAGGGAGCTTCGACATGAAGAAAGATGAGACGGTTTTAACCAAGAGATGTAATTAAGCCTACGTGTATGTTTATAATTTTCTACTTCTCATATCTTGTTTTACACATATCGTGTCCAACCCATGTCAAGGCATGTCCTAGACATGTCTGCATCCAAAAAAAAATATTCAATCACATTTTTTGTGGTGACGAACACGTGTCGGGTGTGCGTTGGAACCGTGTCCGTGTCCAACATGTGTTTGACATGGTTACAATGTTTTTCTAGAAAATGTTGATGTTGCATAGCTTATAATCATTTATTTTAAGGCAAAAAATTTGATCAGATTTTCTAATTCTCTCATCTCTTTTTTGTAGAATATTTATTCTAATTTTCTCCTACCTAAGAACCTAAGACACTTCATTCTTTGCCTACACAATTACGTACTACCCCCTTGCATGAGTTCTTGCTTCCTTACTATTGTATGATTCATTAGCATGCATTTCGTGCTACTCCTTAGAATTACTTGTCCTTAATTTTTTTTTTTTTTATGTCTTCACTTCACAATCATGTCTAGTCAATTTCTAGACTCTCATAAAAATATTATAGCAATCTTCTTGATGGAACAAATGCAAACCCAATTTAAAGTTTGCTCCATAATAAAATTTTAATTTGCCCCTTTTATAGTTTATCTTGCAGAATTAACAACTAAATAACTTTTAAGATAATAAAAATAACAATTTTAAAATTAAAAAATTTAAAAATTAAAAAAAAAAAGAACTTTTAAGATAATAAAAATAACAATTTTAAAATTTAAAAATTTAAAATTTAAAAAAAAAAAGAAAATTTAAAAATTAAAAAAAATTTAGTGGATTGCTACAATTATTGTCTATACCTGCGTGAAAATGGAAAGAAGTTGTTATAGGCTTCATTATGGGATATCCTAAATCTATGTAGGGACACGACAATATTTGAGTAATCATAGAGAGGTTAGCAAAATCAGTTCATTTTTTGTCAATTAAGCAGACAGACTTAGTAAAAAGTTTGTCAGAATATGCCAATAAAATTATCAAACTCTACAATATCCCAAAAGTTATCATTTTTGAAAAAGATAGAAAATCACATTCAAATAATTGAATTTGCTTACAACAACAAGTACCATGTATTAAAATGACTCAATATGAAGCATTGTATGACGAAAGTGTAGAACTCCATTAAGTTGGATTGAAATAGAAGAACATAAACTACTAAGTTTAGAGTTTGTTGATGAAGCCACATAAAAAATCATATTAATAAGAAACATATTGAAAGTTGTTCTTGATCAGCAATAGAAATATTAGCCCAATGTGCATAGCAGTAGATTTTGAGATTAATGATTTTGTATTTCTAAAATTCAGGTCAATAAATAATACTGGCATATTTGGTCAGAGAAGCAAATTGAGTCTCAAATATATTAGTCCTTTTGAAATCTTAGAAAGGATTGATCAAGTTGATTAAAAACTAGCATATATACTGACATGTTTGATATCAATGATGTTTGTCGCATATACATGTCAAGTGAATGAGTTTCAAACTCAGATCAAAGCATTTCATATGAACATATTGAGGTGAAAATTTTAACATATATTGAAAAACTTGAGAATCTAAGAATAAGATGTTAAAAAGTTGTGGAACAGATAGATTCCTTACACTAAGATAAAGTATAAACACGAGCTAGAAAAATAAGTCACTTGGAAAACATAACTAAAAAAAAGGCAAAAGTTTACATACCTATCTGAGTGATTATTTAGAAAGTATGAGGAGAAATTTTGTGTATTGTAATACCATAGAATACCAAAATAGGTAAATTATGTGTATTTTATAATACACCAAACTTTTAAAATAACCCAAAATCTATCTAAACTATTTTTTGAAAATTAAACATTTTATAAAATTCAAATTGACATCTAAAATTATATGTATATTCTTAGTAGATATGGATTTATAAATTAAATTACTAAATTAATTAATTATAACTTATTTTTATATTCTTCACTAGTCTGGTTACTATTAACAATTTAATACACTGTAGTAAATTTGATATCTCCACTTGACTGCACAGGCAATGGTGGGATGAAAATACAAGGTAGGGATTGATATATATACAATTATATATACGAATATATAGTATTATGTATGTGTATATATGCTTCGTCAAGGCTCTGCTAGGGTTTCACCTCACACGGCAAACCCTAGCCTCTGTAGCCTCTGTTACCTGTAATTCCACGCTCGTAGAAGAAGGGGAGTACACTCCTCTGTTCCGTCGTCTGGTTCGTCGAGCTGCGCCTACGCTCGCTGCTCGTTGTAGGGCCGATCGCACTCTGTGGTTCCTCTCTCGTAGTTTCGACCCGATCACGGCTTGCTTTTTGTTGTTTCGACCAGTATGCGCTTGTTTCTTCCATCCTACTCTTGTTTCCGCAGGTTCAACTTTTGATGCTTCGACCCGACACGTGTCCATTCTTCTGGTTGCGCTCCATCGGATCAGACCGTCTGGTTTCATTGGTTTTTGCATCTGCGGGCTGAAGGATTGTCGTTATGGTGCTTCCTTCTTTGGTTGATCCGGGCAAAGCTTCTTTTGCCCGTGTGGTGGGTAATCATATTGTGAAATCTACTGTTGTCTTCCCTTCAAGCTATAAGGAATGTCGTGATAGTACGAGTGGTTTTCCTTTTCTTAAGAAGATAAGTAGGAAGAGTGGGAAAACAGCACTATTTTTCTTTGATTCAGAAATTTCAACCCTAACTGAGAAATTCAAGTTCGCCCTTATTGGAAAATTTCAATGGGGGCACCCACCTACGAAAGTTATCAGAAAGAGCGTTGACGATCTCAAACTTATGGGAGACATGTGTTGATCCAGTTAACCCGAGTTGAAGACTATGCTCAGATTTTCTCTAAAAAATATCTCAACATTGCAGGCAAGTCAATGAAGTTACTCGGGTGGATTCCTGATTTTGACCCAAA